GAAATTAATTTATGTCAGTGTAATGTTCCTGAAATGACAGAAACAAAAAGTGTGCGTGTTCATGAGAGAGACAGAGAGGAACTGCCGATTTAGCCATCCTATCATGGCAGCCATTTCTTGGCAGTCAATCAGTTAATAGAGTCATTATATATTTGTGAAAGTTCTTTAATCAAAGAATGTACTGGCAAGGATAGAAAGTAATTTAACATCACCCAGAGTAAGAACATTTGCCATCACTTTTGAAGGTCTAGTGCTAGGACATTGCAACTATTATGCTAATGTGTTGAACATTATCATGAGTCAAGTGTACCTTAATCCTCCTGGTGTCCTGAACACTGAGCAGAAATACATGTATACTGTATGTGTATCTTCCAGCATGGCTGAGGGCTCAGTGTTTGTAGCAGAGGTGGAGACCTGTTTCCAGAAGTTTGCAGTCCATGGGGACACCAAGGCCACAGGAAAGGAGATGAACGGCAAGAACTTTGCTAAGCTCTGCAAGGACTGTAACATCATTGACAGCAAGAACGTCACCACCACAGATGTTGACATAGTTTTAAACAAAGTCAAATAAGATTTAAATTTCAGGCTCCACCTTCCACAACTACAATAATTTAATAGTACAGAAACAGCCATGCAAAGTAGTAATGTCAGCAGCTGCATATCATCTGCACAGAAGCGATTTGTCATCTAGTGCAGCTAAGCTAAAACATGCAGGAGCACATGCAAGTCTTCTACTATGGCCACTGCTTCTGCCACCATGTTTTAAAATTTTTAAAATGTATAGAGCTTTGTACCTTGTGATGACATTTCTCAGAAGTGGTTATCACTATGTGTAGTGAATTTTCATTTTCTAGTGTGCTCTTTTAATCTAAACATGTCTGACAGTCAAACTGTGTATGTTTTGTTCTATTCACATGGAAAAATGTAAATAACACCATTTGATAAAGTTGTTGCTTTCTTCAGAAGGGATTTCAACTTTGTTTTCTCAGGACAAAGTCTGCTCGTGTAATCACGTTTGAGCAGTTCAGCCAGGCCCTGACTGAGTTGGCTTCCAAGCGTTTTAAAGGCAAAAGCAAAGAGGAGGCACTACAGCAGCTTTATGGGCTCATTGCTGGGAAGGAGCCGACTAATGTTGGCATCACAGTGAGACTTTCATAGGTTCATAATATAATAAGCTTTCATCACCCTCACACATGCAACATCCAGTGACTGTACTAAACCCACCTCTCTATGTAGAAAATACTTAGGCTAATGTTAAAGGGAAAGATGGTTGTAGAGGGGTTGGAACCTGAAGTGCATGTTGTTTTGTGTAAGACAGAAATCCATAACAATGTGTTCAAAGTTGTCTTCCTATATTGAGTTTAACAGACTGAATCTGGTCTAAAGTAAATTAAGCAGATACAAGGGAGATAAATGTGTCTGTATGTTCTTATATGAATGAACAAATGAAGAATGATAAGTGAAATTACTGCCTATTTATTAAATCAGTTCACTTTGAATTGAATCTTTCATTGTTTTCAGAAAGTAGCAAAGGCAGCAGCAGTGGACAGACTGACTGACACCACCAAGTACACTGGGTCACATATGGAGCGGTTCGACGAGTCAGGCAAAGGCAAAGGAAAAGTTGGACGTGAGGACATCCCTGACACCAGTGGCTACGTGTCGGCTTACAAGGGCAGCGGCACTTATGACGACAAAGTGAAAGAGGCATAATTTTGCTGACAGATTATGAAAACTTTGCATCACCAGTAACATAAATCAGGGGTATTTAAAAAAATCAACAAAAAGTATGGCCTATTCTAGTTTTGAAGACATAATAAATATACAATGTATGGACTGTGGGCCTATTCATAGTACTAAAGCATTGTTCAGAGAAAAATAAGAAAACAATATACTGTAACTGCAGTTTCAAGGCTATGACAGGAGAGAACAAGAATGGGAAAATTAAAGAAGCAATTTCCAAAGATAACAAATATTCCTCTGTAGTGGTTTAAGTTACATGTTAATATGGTATATGTAATAAAATAGTGTTTATGGGTTCACTTTAAGTTCATGTGAGCTGAACAATGATCTTATATAATTTGGCCAAGATGTTTCCTGTTTTTGAATACATCTCAGGGTGTTGTCTCCTAAAACTGGAGACAGGAAGCTAAGTTGAGAAATTGACATAAGAGCCTAAGAAAAGCTGTGGGTAAAAGAGTGAGGCTGAAGGGTGTAGAAGACAGAATTAAGGATGGTGCAGCAGCCTTGAGTGTGCTGGTGGACCCGGCCATGTGGAATGGACTCCGACTGACGGTAACTTGTGACCAACAATGACTGACTGGCGCCCTGACAATCTCCTTATTTAATACTTTATCTATTCCATTGCAGGAGGAGTGATTTCCTAACTACCAGATTACCTATTTAACTACTACTCTGTTCAAAATAATTGTAATATTAAATGATTACTTAAATTGGGATGCTTTGTTTGAATTAATTTAGTCTGTATCACATTCTAGCCACGACACCTCCCTTCAGCAACTGCAACAATTTTAACGGGTTGTAGCATGAATAACTCATCTCTGTACTTTCAATTACTTCACAGGGACCAAAAAATAAAACTATATTAGTAGCCAAGCATGTGTAACCGGTCGCCTTTGAGTCTCTATGCTGTCCTCTTAGTCCCCGCCATCTCGCCTGTCCCTCTGGTAACACATGGACCGACACATTTGCTATTCAACGGAACCCTTTATTGCTGGTCACAGAGAAAAAAAAAACAGAAAACAGATTGCCTCCGGTGAGTGCTCAGCTCGCTCCTAAACAAAAGCACACAACAAGTTTACCCATACGACACAGGGTGGACAATAAAAGTAAAATAACCACAAATGGGTGGAGCTCCCACCTCTTTCCACTCGACACCATGC